TGCCTCAGCTTCTTTCGCGTACCCATGCCAAGGAGTGCAAACCACCCCTGGGTTGAACACCCTGCTCCCAGGGAGTGCAAGAATCCATGAAGCGTCAAACTCGAGTGGGCAGAAGAAGTATTTCTGTTTGGCTCTCTTCCTCCATTTCAACCTGGGAGACTGCAGAGTTGTTTTTACCTTCCACCCCGACGAGCGTTCTGCATGGACAACCCTGCTGCCCAAGCCTTTTCTTATCGCAGCACAGCTCACAAAGCTCAAGGCTCCGCAACGACGGAGCGCGTCATTTGTTCCCGATCCAACATCTGCAACCAAATAAGGCATGTGTTTTCGTTCAACAAAACTAGTCAGACCCTGAGAAGCAAAAAAAAAAAACTCCCGCCAACAGACAGCAACCTGACAGGTCCCTTTGAAAGGACGATGGTCCAGGTCGGTGCCCTCCGAAAGTCAGGTGGGAGGCTAGCTCCAAAAGTCGTCACCCGAGCCCAGGGAAGTCCTGGAGCCATGCAAACAGATTGAAGCGTATCACAGTAAGCACAACCAAAACGGGGCAACGAGACAACACATTGGACGTAGAGTCATGAACATACATACATATATACATATATACAGGAATACTATACAGCAATACCACAGAGTGGGAAACAATACACAAGAGACTAGCAAATCTACCATCAGCAAAGTCCAGGAACTCAGGACGTGAGTCTCAGTTACAGATTTGGCGGATGATGTCCATCCCTGAATAATAAATATTGATGGAACTCCCCATCATGTGGATGAATGGCCCGAAGTTCCTGCCTCCATCCCAGTTTAAAAGAGTCAAGCGACGGTCACTACTTCAAGTGGTCAGAAACTCATTCCGGATCACCAGAACCATTGTCTAAATTAACTAGCTCATCTCCTCGGGATGCAGCTGAATGCCTGGTCAAACAATTGTCTGCTGGAACCGGCATCTTGGCTGATGAAGTTGTAGCTTGCAAGGGAGAATTTGGTATGACAAGGATTTCCCAAATCCTAGTGGCGAAGGTGTTACCACCCATACGCTACTACGATCATTGCTGGCGCTGTTTGGCTGGAGGAATCAGCCAGAAGCCACCAACTAGTAGCTAGTAATTTTGTCTACTGCCCACCAAATCTAGGAACTGGAATGAGAGGACTCTCGACGAAACCCTATGTGAGCTGACAGTCAAATTTCGAACAGGCAAACCAGCACATCCACTTACTCAATCCCCTCCCGCTTCCTCCGCCCCCCCCCCCCCCACCACCACCTACCACCTCCCACCCCCACTCCCCCTCACATCCACAGAATTACGCCCCCCCTGCTTCCTCCGCCCCCCCCCCCACCTCCCCCCACCACCCACTGTCCGTCCATTTCCCCCACTGGGCTCCCGCGCCCAAGGTATCCCCCAGCCCGCGGCTCATGGCCAGCCCCGGCGCCTGGCCCCGCTGCCGGTGCCAAAGCCTGCCGAAGCTTCGGCGGGCTGGGCTGGCTGGTGGTGGGGTACTTTAATGCCGCCCCTGAATATACCCCCCGCAAAAAAAAGAAACTACAATCTTAGTGGGGATTCCTGTCTTCAGGCGCAGCTTTCCGAGGAGTTGGGTGGACATCATGGGGGGAAAATGGTCCACTACGTTTTTTTCGGTATGTCGCTGCCAAAACTTCCTAGCCAACTGCGCCTTGTTTTGGGGTTGGCTTCAAGGGAAATGTTCAACCGAAGCCAGAGTTGGGGGGGGGGGGGCGAATACCCAAATCACAAGACCCCCAAGGGTTGATTCCCCATTCTTTCCAACCATCGTTCTTTTCGAAAACCGGCCGTTTCTATGGGTTTCCGGAGGTTTTCTAGAAAGAAGGATCCCTGGAAAGAATGGGGAAGGCAGCACTAGGCTAATTAGTTGATGGCTGGATCGGCGGTTGGAACCCCGCCCCCAAACACTAAGAGGCCCACTTTGTTTGGTCCAAATGTTTACCCACTGGGCGCAGAGTCCAAGGGCTAGAGGGTCCTCCCATTCGTGTCCAGTCCGAGTCACCCAACAAAAAACCAGGGCTTCGAGCCAAACAGCAATCGAACTTGGAAAAAAATGGAAGTCGCAAGCCGGGAGCTATCCATTCCACAGTAAAGGACCTTCGTGGTTGAGCCTGGTTGAAGCCCCAAATAAGCTTGCTTTGCTTTGCCCGGATCGATTCGAAATCCGTTTGGGCCGGCCAAAGTGCCCCTTGAAAACCAGGCTCAACCAGGGCAAAACCAGGCTCATGTTGGCCGGTATCAAACCGGCCTGGTTGTACCCCAAATCCATTTGGGTCGGCCAACATGCCGGTGAAAACCAGGATTGCAGCCTTATTTGTCTGTATGTCTGGCTTTGCGGAGATCAAGGGCTGTGTCCCATGCTAGGTTCAACTCCCTGGGCTAAGATTGCTTTTGGCCTCACCGAGTACACCAGTACAACCTCCCCCAAGGTGTCCAACATGGCGCAGTGAGGCCGCCATGTGGCCTTTAGTGTGTGTTTGTGCGTGTTCTTCTGCGTGTGTGTGTGTGTGTGTGTGGGTGTGTGTGGGTGTGTGGGTGTGTGGGTGTGTGGGTGTGTGGGTGTGTGGGTGTGTGGGTGTGTGTGCGTGTGTGCGTGTGTGCGTGTGTGCGTGTGTGCGTGTGTGCGTGTGTGCGTGTGTGCGTGTGTGCGTGTGTGCGTGTGTGCGTGTGTGCGTGTGTGCGTGTGTGCGTGTGTGCGTGTGTGCGTGTGTGCGTGTGTGCGTGTGTGCGTGTGTGCGTGTGTGCGTGTGTGCGTGTGTGCGTGTGTGCGTGTGTGCGTGTGTGCGTGTGTGCGTGTGTGCGTGTGTGCGTGTGTGCGTGTGCGTGTGTGCGTGTGTGCGTGTGTGCGTGTGTGCGTGTGTGCGTGTGTGCGTGTGTGTGCGCGTGTGCGCGTGTGCGCGTGTGTGCGCGTGCGTGTGCGTGTGCGTGTGCGTGTGCGTGTGCGTGTGCGTGTGCGTGTGCGTGTGCGTGTGCGTGTGCGTGTGCGTGTGCGTGTGCGTGTGCGTGTGCGTGTGCGTGTGCGTGTGCGTGTGCGTGTGCGTGTGCGTGTGCGTGTGCGTGTGCGTGTGGGTGTGTGTGTGTGTGTGTGTGTGTGTGTGTGTGTGTGTGTGTGTGTGTGTGTGTATGTATGTATGTATGTATGTGTGTGTGTGTGTTGATTGTAAGATTATCGCATGGCATCTTCACTGACATGAGTTGTCGTAAGCGTGTTTTCTTGGGTTTGCTGTTGTTGTGTGGTTTGATGGAGTTTGGTTCGGTTTCAATCGCACATATTGTGTTGAGGATGTCTTCAGCGGCATGATGCATGATGCGCAAATGCGTTCAATGGGATTCATGATGAATGTTTTTCTTCATAGAAATGCTTGGGGTGAAATGGCGTAAAACCAGGTGTTCGGTGAAGAAAAAAACTAAAACAAATGTGGCATCTTCTCGTGAGGACACATCGTGGAAAACTCAAACCAGTGGTGATTGCAAACATATTATAAACATGGGGTTCAACTCTAATGATTCAATCTGTTTGGAGCAGCTTGCAAAACACGATTGGCAACGCAGCATGGTGGACTCAAACGTCACACAATGTTCAAATCCCAAAACCACCAATCCAGGGTTAGCTGAAAGAATGTGGGGGTATGGGTGGGTGCTTTCGCGAGGGTACCATACATGGGCGTCCAAACAAGTGGCAACTTGACTAGGTCCTCCAGTAGAGAGGTTAGCAACTTTCTTTATCTTTTTCTGTGGTCTAAAATTTTAGTAGGGAACCCTCTCAACCACAAAAGGGGAAAGGGCACCCTTTCGCTGGGGACCTAGCTGATGATTCAAAGCGCGACCACGGCATTCGACTCCGTATAGAAATACAGCGATGAGTCATACGGATATCGTTTCCCTTTCAAACCATCCAAGAAGGGGACCTTAAAAAACACACACGCGAAGAAACAAAATGGATGTTGACCCCATATTAATCAACCCCAGTTTATTACTACGGGGCGGATTTAGTGGTGAAGCATCACTTTTTGAGGGGAACGCCCCCCTATTCATAAACTGGGGTTGATTAATTATATATGGGGTTAATTGTCGCAACAAAACCATTCCTGGGCATTCGGCGGGACATTCCAGGACTGTTGCGGGCGCACGGAGCTGTGGAATCGAGAAAGGTACATGTCGACGGTCATACCATTCAACACGAGGGGACCTTCTTGGGATGCCATGTGGCCTTCCGAGGAATCTCATCGGATCCCGAGGAATACGAGTGCACCAGGGGACCGCAGATTTTGGTCCATCTTTCCACTTACCAGGGCAACCCATTTTGGAATTCCGGTTCTTTGACCCACAGCCATATGGGCACCCTGTGGACATTGACATCATGCTGGAGATTCACGTGGCCATGGGTCAAAACCCAAAGCCCGTACCGCCAGTGAACATCCGATTCAATCCAACCACTAAAATAGGTTCTAAACTGGGTGTTGAATTCACCCACCCCAAAACGGGATCCCATTGGTGACAACCACAGCCACATGTCCATATCCACTAAACCAGGTTCTAAACTGGGACCATTGGCTCCACAGCCATGTCCACACCCTTTGGAGTGAAGCATCGGACATCGCCTCGGAGGGCCGAGGTTGGCAGGGTCCACTTGCGCGGGCCCCGGCATCTTCTGCCTAGCGGTTGCGGCAAGCGCTCCGGTTTCAGGGCCCAGGGCCTTCACCTTTTGAAGGCCCTCTTCGCTACCTCCGGTTGCAGGGCCAGTTTTTTTGAAGGCCCTCTGGTTTGCTTTAACCTCACCTTGGTCACCTCCCAGGCCATGTCATTTTTGTTTTTCCTTCCTTCGGGCCAGGTAAGGTTTCAAGGGATGTGTCGTTTGTTGCGGGTAGCCCCTTGGGCCTGGAGAAAGACCACAATTCCTAAACCGGCGGGGGTCACCTGCATGTCCTCCAACCGGCGGGGGTCATGAGGATTGGGGTGGATGCCAGAGATGAGGATTGGGGTGGATTGCAGTGGGATTGCACAGGGTCCAAGCTCCTGGTACAAGTACGAGCAAAAACGGTGAATCTCACGAGGATTCCGAATAGGAGCTCTGCAACGTGAACTGAGGGCCCAAGCTTTTGCAACGTAAAGGATACACACCCCAAACGGCGAAGGTCCAATTCAGTCATCAACTTAACTTGGTTGACGTTGGAAAGCAGTTAAGTGGGGATTTCAACCACTAAACCACAAAAAGCAAAAATGGACAAAATGTTTCCCAACAACAACCATGTTAAGGTTGAAAACCAATCAACTACATGGCAAAGGAACGTGGAACAATCCCTTTTCGTTCCCATTGGTCTACAACAAACTTGTTCCTCTGGCCCTGGGGCTTGCTGGAATGGACACCCCGCAACATCCATCCGTAAATTTGTGCTCAAGGACCCACCTTTGAAGACCTCGTTTGAAGACATGTCAGTTTTGAGAGGAGTATCTAGAAGTCACCTGTGTACACATTGACCCTGTGAAGTGTCAAAGCTGGTCGGGAGGCAGCCGAGTCGCTAGTGTGCTCTGTGCCCATGCGGGTGCGTCTTTTTGTTAGATACCTTTTTCGGGGTTTCAAGGGAACCAAAAGAAAACCACCCATCTTTGTGGTTTCCCCGATCGACGCGGGCCGCAAGCAATATGCAACGGCCCGTGTGCGCCGCACCATGCTAGAGCACAAAGATCATTATGTTCTGCAGTCAATGCATTATGAAAACTGGATCATAAGATAGTTGACAGTGCGCAATGCGGTATTGGTTGCACAACTACGTTCAGAGGGTGCGGCTGGCATCCCTTGTTCATGCAAAAAAACACAATCTGAGAATGGCTGCAAGGTCTGCGTGCATACCCAAAAGCCAATGCGCCAATGCGTATCTTCTCTTGAAGGATGATGAGACTGACGACATCTAGGTCCTCCAGATTTGAGAGGTTAGAATAAGGGTACCAGCTTTTTTCGGTTTGGTCTATTTTACTAGGGGAACCCAAACCCCCAAAAAAGAAACGGTAACAGTTGGCACCTAGCGGGACCTAGACATTGTCCGGCCGGCAAATTCATGCATGTCAAAGGACACTCGGCTGGCTTCACCAAGCTTTTAGCCCACAACACCTGAGGGGTGGCTTGGTTCTACTAGACCTCAAATATCACAAAGGATACCAGCCCCATGAATCTTCGTGTAACGATATAGCCGTATAGCCGCACGAAGGAAACAAATCCATTCTGGGTGTCATCTTCTTTTGGGAATGATGAACAGTTGGGGGTTTGGCGCGTTTGGCTTTCATATATGTTATCTCAGTCCTGCAACATGATGACTGGCTATTGTTTTCATCTTGAGATCCTTCCTTGCCAATCGTCTTGGCCAATTTGGTTCTACCTTTTGAAAGGAGCGTGCATTGCTTACTAAATCATTGCAGCGTTCAAGTTCGGGCCAAGAAACAACACGCATCATGTTGGTTCTTGTTCGCACCTGCCGACCTGGTAACCGTTTCTTCTTGGCGGATCCTTTAAGGAAGCCTGTTTTTGTTTGTCTCAGTTGCCCAACGGACCCGGAAACAACAGGTGATCATTTTTGGGGGCCACTCCCCAAATTAGGGAACAGGTCAAAAGGGCGACTCGCTTTGGGCAAGTGAGAGCAATCTCCAGCATGCAACCTCAACCGTTTGGGTGTAACAAACCTCTGCCCCTGTCTTTCAACCGTTTGAGTTGTGAGCATAGCTGCCCTTTTGGAAAAAAGGCACTGGTAGATGAGAAAAGAGCCAAACATGAAACCAGCGGAACCCATCTATTTTCACTCACAAACTCACCTAAACCAATAAAAGCCGGTGGAACTTAGTGGAACCCCCCCGTTGAGTGGTGAGTCTCGCATCTTTCGCCGGTCTCTGCGGTCGGTTTCTGGGCTGCCAGGCACGCGGCCACCGCAGGAGATGAGCCGCGCAGCCTCGCCGCTTCGCTTCGCTTCGCTTCGATGGGGGGCGGTAGGCTGTGAAATGAGTTGGGGGGGAAGGCTTGGTTGACGTTGGGTTTGGGGAGCAAAAAATCTCAAATAAGCCAAACCACTAAACCACAATAAGCAAAGATGTGAAAAATGTGCCCCAACAACAACCGAGAAGGGGGGGAACCTGTGAACCAAAAAGGAGTGGATTCATTTCTGGATTCGTCTAGAGCCCAAGGGCATTCCCGAACATCCGACAGGCCCAACCGCCTGGGTGAATTATAATATCTCACCGCCCTGAAATAAGGTGGTTGGGGGCTGTTCCCTAAATAAACCACCATTTGGGGTGAGGTCGTGTGAGGTCGTTATAATTCACCAAGAACTGCTAATTTATCTGATCAAATCTCCACGCATGCCTTGAGTGCTGGAAGAAAGAGCACTGCGATACACATACGCACATGTGAGCTCTCCCGTGAATAGCTGCCTTGCTTGGAAGCCATAGCTGCCCCTCGGCTTGGCCACTCTCAACCCACTCAAGGCCACTTCTTAAGAAACATGCAAAGCAGTGATAGCAGCACAATTGAAAAGCGCATAAAGATTATTTTAGTGCAAACAGTTGAGGCCAGAAATATGAGACTGGGAACCATGAACAATTGAGAAGCGTCAACGCTTCTGGGAATCTACTCTGGGCCAGAAACCCTGCAACTCAACACATCCTCCTGAATCAGATCCTGGTCGCAAGGTAAGCAACCCACTGGTTGTGAATGCGCCAATTTGTCATGACACAATGCTGCGGGACAGGTCGGGTACAACATACCAGGGATCGTGAGTAAATATGAATAACTTCATGATACATCCGCGCTGGATTCTGCAGCAAGCGAGGCTCTGAACATACATCTCGCCACAGTTAGATTCTCCTTGGCATGGTATCAACAACCATGACCCAACCTCATGGAAACAAAACATGGCTCTCCCTGGCCACCTGACTTTGTCCATCAGCACGGAGAACGGTGCTTCGTTAGAAGAATTCAACCATCTGCAAAAACCAAAATCAATAATCTGCGTCGGGGGTATGTATCGCTGCCGTCGAACTTCCTGCCCTTACTAACCTGGACACACGCGAAAGAAGAAAAACAAACAAAGAACATATGGCGCATCGTCTTTCGGCTTCGTCTCGAAAGGAGGGACCACTCGCCCAATGGATGCTCTCGTGACTCTCGTGTGGTGGTTCCTCGCAAGGCCACCACGCAGAACGGATCGCAGCTTCAGACACCTGTCCATTTGTCTTGAGGGTACCCATTTTGGGGTTTGTTTACAAAGACGCCAAAAGGAAACCACCCACTTTGGAGGTTTCCCTTTTGAGACAAAGCCATCTTCACCCTGAACAAAGGTTTGAAGAAAGGAGCGCCTCGCATTGTCACAAACTGGGGCTTTTGTTTTCTTGTTTCCTTTGCGGCCGCAAGAAACTTACCCCCAGTTCTTCTGTGACTCTGGTTAGCCAAATAACATCGAGGCCATGGAAACGACCACTAAACCCTACCGAACAGAGGATGGCACTAAACCAACTAAAAACACTAAAACCCTAAAAAACGAACCGGATGGCTGGGAACCACCTATTTGTTGAGGGTTCCATTCGTCCCGACTGCCGGATTTTGGTCCATCCACACTATAGGCCATCCTCAGCTCCCCTGCTGAAAGTTTAACTTTTGGGTTACATTCGGGAAACTACCAAAAAACTGTACCTAAAAGTAACCTACAAACCTAAGGGGATGCACTAAACCCTACCTGAAAGCTACTAAAAACCGAACCGGATGCACTCGATTTTTTCAGGGGGCTCTATTCATCCCGACTGCAGGACTTTGTCCGTCCACACCAACCCATGTTACGAGAAACTCCCAGCGCCAGCTCTACAAACGGCGGTCCGGGACGCAGTCGTCGGGCTTCACCCGCCTCCAAAGCCTCTCCTGGCCGATGATCCTCCGTGAGCCGCAAGGTTGTCCAACTGGGCCTGGGGCGCGAGTTTCTAGGGCCCAAGGGAATATATATGCTGCATAAATAAATACATAAACAAGATGAATACCTAATTATATATATTTTATGGATGCGCATATGTGGTTGTTACAATATGTGTACATATATATATATATATATATTGTATATTGTTATAGATGCAATTTGAAGGGAAAGCAACAGGACAACCACAATGTTAAGAGTCAATTATCTCAAATTAAGCGTCCACTAGAATAAAGGAGGGTCACTCCATTGCTGCCCTTGCAAGGCTCACCGAGTGGTTTTGGAGCAGTAGAATCTCGCTCTCTCTCTTTCTCTCTCTCTCTCTCTCTGAGATGGTGCCTGCAAAGTTCCCTACGCAGTTGTGACCAGGGTTGCTAAGCACGTGATAGGCCACAACGGGTTCCCATTCGTAAACACACATTGACAGCTTGAAACACGCGGAGGAGCGTTTGTTTCGCAAATGCATAAGGATCTATAGAGCTGAACATTGTGCAGAACTGCTTACTGCCCGCCATTCAGAATGACAGTGCCCCCTATTTTTCACATAGGAAAACTCATCTGCCTGCAGCAGCTGATCTGAAAATGGAGCTACCTTGGAATGGCGTAGCCATTCTCAAGAAGGACCCTGATGCAGCTTCGAAAGGAAACTCACTGGAAACTGGCGTGACGTGTAAAACCAGCAAATAGGAACTTATATGGACCCTCACAAAGACAACTGCGGTGAACCGTGCGATTCACGTTGCTTCAAAGGAACTTGGCGCGAGCTTCGACACTGAAGAGAACCACGAGAGGTGTTGCTGAAAATTCCTGAGCTGGCCTCAAAGTCGTGAGGCATAAGTTTCTTTCCGGTTGCATGTGTTCGATCTACTCAAAGGCCCAATCACGGTTCTACAGGGCTATATTTCCCCTTAAACATCACCGCCACCAAGGGACACTCACCTTTCATGAGCCAAAGCGGTGATGTTGAAAAGCCACAAAAAGTGAATGTAGGGGCCCTGTTCTGCACACTTTGACGGGCTTGAGGAAATACACTTAAGATGTTCTTCGGGAGTTCACCCTGAGCTGCCGGCTGAGACTCAGAGCCGTGCCTGGCGGTAGGGACCACTCTGCTTGCCACCACACGAGTGTGTTTTATGGATTTCCCTAAAAGCACCTCACTTCATCCGTGGGTCTTCATTTCAACTTCCATGTTGAACAGCTAAGCCGGGCATAGTTTGACTCACCATCGTCGGCCGCAGACTCACTCAAACCCGAAGTGTCCCTGTTGCCAGTGGAATGCCCATATCTCACCTTAATCTCACCTCAGTTGGTGCTCGCAAGCAAACTTGGCAGGCTGTCGATAAGTTGTGTTTGGCACCAACACCTTTCCCACTTTTTCACGCGACACAGAATAAGCTGCCCCGTTAAAAACAGAATAACAAACGATGAAACACAACACACCCACAGACACACAAAAGACAAACTCCCCAGTCAAAATCCACTCCTTCCAATAAAGCAAAAGAGACAACGCAAAACAACAACTAACAACAATTGTTTAAACAAAAAACAAAAAACACTAAACAACAGAAGCGGGTTTGGACAATTGGGCTCCCCTGCGCGCTGCCGTTGGAGCTCTTGATCCTTCCAAGGACCTCGGCGCCACGTGGGTCCACGAGGCGACGGCACTCCAACTAACACCTGTGGGGAGGTACCTGGAAGATCAATTTCCTTATGACTTGGTTGACGTTGGTTAGGGGAGCAAAAATCCTCAAAATTTACCAGTTAAGTGGTTGCCATAAGCAAAAATTGGAAAAATGTTTCCCAACAACAACCATGATGAAGGGACCCAACATGTCAGTTGCCATGTTAGTGGGAGGGTAAGCTTTCGGCCCATGACTCAACATGGACCAATGGGGAAACCAAAAGGTTAGAAGCTCGGATTATTCGCCTTGGCCAAGTCAGGAATAGGGCAGAGCCATGTTGTGGCAAAACAGCGGGCATGCACAGCTTGATTGAAATCGATAGCATGCACATCTTGAAATGCGTCTGACATACGCTTTCCGAATAATGATTAATGAATAGAACACACACGAAGGCTTCGTCTCACACGCTGTCGCCAATCATGTCCCTCAGATCCCTTCATGTCCTTTCCTGACTTTCTACACCACAAGTTCGGATGGGGAAAGAATACGATTACGAAGTACTTGAGAAGTCAAGCTAGACCTGACTGGACCAAACATGCCATCCCGCATCTACTCCACGGTGAACATTTAGTAACCTGTCGTGTGTTTGAAAACATCCCCTGGTTGCTACTAGTAGTTTGCCGGTTGGTGTTCAACTTGGAGCATGACGACCCCACCCAGGAAGCGAGCCAGTTGATCGTGCTCCTCACCTCTGCATACTGCATATTGGGAACTAGCGCGCCGTGCCTTGTCTCGGCAAGAGTTGCCCTATCCCATCCGCATACCAAAATACTGAGCCCTCTGAAAGGGGGAGCTTCCAAGCGGCCTTCCAGCTTCATGAGTGACAATCAAAACCGATCGGTACAAAAATGGTGAACCCAGAACCATGAACAATAATTATAAAGGCGGATATCCGCAGCTATTTTCGGCTGGGACAGCCCCTTAGTAACCTTCATCTACCCGGGTTTTGAGCACGTGGCTCATGTCAGCTCTCCCTCTTTACACTCAGGGGACTCCAACTCCGAGACGACTTGGCCCTTGCGGGTCCCGGCCGCTCGGCAGTCGCCAAGGTGTGCTACTGCCAACCTGGACGTAAGTGCAACGGGAAATGCCAATGCCAACCAAGCACCAAGCTGCGATAAAGTACATTTACCAAAACGGAAAAAATAAGAGGTCCAAAAAACAAGTACCCTGCATCTCTGCAGTGGCTCAAGTCGGAGTGACACGTGAGGCAGCCAAAGCCCACAGCATCGCTTGAATAGAAGCGCTTGTTGAATCCAGGGGGAGCCTCCCGTGTTGCGTATGTCGGCTCAGGAAATGCAACCCATGGAAGGCTGCTACAGAGGCAAACAAATGTATCACGACAATGCAGCAGACCGACTCATCAATCGGAGTCAAGGGTAAAGACGAGGATCCTTGTCCCCGCCCAGTACATTGTCAGGATGCAAGAAACTGCGCGACTTCAATGATTCAACGGTCAATGCAGAGCTATGAAGCCCAAACGCAGAGACTGACCAGCGCCTAGCTGTAAAAGTCGCCGCGTCAAACCTGTAATCTAGACGGAGTCCAATGGAAACCTCGCGGAGACTGAAGGCGGCCTGCCATGTACATCAACTCAGTTGTTCAGTGACCCTGGAAAAAAAAGGAACCCTTTTTTGGGACGACCATTTTTCGTGGGGCAGCCACAAAAAAAAGGGACTATAATGGTGCCACTGAACAACTGAGTCAATGACGCACGGCAAACGCCCTGAGGCCATGCGTGGGGAGGCAAAGCACCTCCCCAGCCCCTGAGCAGAGGCCGCTGCACCGCCAAAAGGCAGACTTTCCGAGAAATGACCTCGCTTGCATGAGGGATCACGAGGCGGGCAAACAAAACGTGGAGGAAGAGAAGCGCCCCAACCACCAACAGGGCTCCCTATATTTCCCCTTAAAACATCACCCCCACCAAGGGACGTTCACCTTTCATGGCCCGAAAAGGTGATGTTTAAAACATTTAAAACCACCAAACAGGGAAATATAGGGACCCCTGACCAAAGAGGATGACAAAGAGCCAATCAAGGCGATCACCGTGCAGGAATGCCAATTGCAGTCCTGGTACGTAAGCCATGAAACCACCAAAGAACTCATCGACCACTGTAAGCGAGATTCCGAATTTGTGCCACCAGCCTGGCCCAACTGTGTTTAAGTTGAACGCTGCAAAGATGTGAGCATGATGGAGAGCAATGAGAGGAGAGCACAGAACCAAATCTCGTCTCGAGAGGTGGTGCACGCAGGAGCAACCGCACGGTGCAAGAGCATGAAGCCGGAGAAGCGCGAAAACGACATATGTCTGAGCGTGATTGTATTACACCCTGGGATTACACCCTTGGAAATGACCCAGAATGGTTCAAAATAACACGGTTTTATCCGCAAATGTGCCTAAATGGGGTCAATACCCAGTGGGTGTATTCCCAGGGTGTAATACAAAAACCCTTAGAATAAGCCACTATCCCCAGCTCAACAAAAACTAAGTCCTCTGCCCCCTGAAGGAACAGCAGACAGCGATGCGCCTATCCGACGGAAAATATGACCTGCGCCTATCCGGGAATTAAAGCGGGGCCATGGGGAGCTGCCTTTAGAAGGCTAGGTCCTCCAGTAGAGAGGTTAGAATAAGGGTACTTTTTCTGTAGACTATGTTACTAGGGGAACTCTCCTCCCAAAAAGTGTAAGAGGGCACTACTGGAGGACCTAGAAGGAGTCCAAATGGGGTCCATGACAACCCACCAAGGCAGAGCCCGCAAGGCACAAGACGAAGCCGCAATGGACGCCTGCAAGTCAGTTAGCTGACTTGCGCCCGGCGACCGCAAGGCAAGGGAAGCCTGCCAGTCAGTTTTTCCGAGTCACCACGTCAGACCCCCATTTAACACCATGAAATATGGGGGGTGATCAGAAGGTCAGTAAAACAGGGGTTTCCATTGGTTGGAAAACCCAATAAAAAGGTCTGATATTTCCAACTAAATGAAAAAGTTAGCCATGGTCATTTAGGTGCCGAACGGAATCTTGATCAAGCCCCATATGAGAAATTCCAAAGGGTTCGACTGTATGCTCCCCCATTAAAGCCCCTAGGTCCTCCACTAGAGAGGTTAGAATAAGGGTACCAACTTTTTCTGTAGTCTATGTTAGTAGGGGAACCCTCCCAAACAAAAAAGGTTGGGTTAAAACGGGCACCTAGCTGGGGGACCTAGTTGATACTGCTTCGACCTGTATCGTAGGTGTCCTTTTGGAAAATAGATGGCCCTGGTAAATGGAACAAAACCCATCTAAACCAGTGCCTTCTATTTTTGACCACACTAACCTAAAAAGGACACCTATGCCCTGTATCTTCCCTCTCGCCCGTATTCTCCCCCGCGAGCGCGAGATCTCGATCGATCTCTGGCCTTCGCGCGGCCTGGCCGATGCCCTCGATGCGCATGACGATGCCTCGTTGAACGAGCGCCCGAGACATGGCCCGTTGACTGGTACTCGCCAGGGTTGAGATGGTTACCCTCCCTCCCACTAACGTGGCACTTGTCGGAGGGTACCTGGAAGACAAATGTTCGGCCCCTCATAGGTGTCCTTTTAGCGGAAATAGATGGTTTTTTTCCCTGGTAGATGATGAAAAACCACCAGGCAAACCAAAAAGGACACCTTCCCTCCAATCAGAAGGCAACTGTGGGAGGCTACCTGGAAGATGGGTGTCCTCTTCATGGTATCATGTGTCAGTTGCGTCAGTTGCGTGGGAGGGAGCCCTTTCTTCAACGTATGTTGCCAGAGGGCTTCCGAAAGGGCAGCAGTCCCAAACCGCCCTTTTCAGCTTCCACGATTTGGAGCGATGGTCACATGCTAGAACCACGAAATTAACCACATGCCCAATAGGGTTGGTAGGGCCCCTATGAAATCGGGATAAACCCTTACCTCCAAGGCAATTCGAGCCACCACCCCCCCCCCAAATCGAACATGGGACCTGACTGGAGCTGCTTGAACTATGTTCCTCCAGGGACCCTGTGCGTGTCCATGGTAGTGGACAGGAGGTTGGCCCATGTTGGCCTTTTGTCAGTTGGATTGGAAGGACAACAAAGTCAAACCATCTGCCCGGTCTCCCTTCTTAAGCAACGGTACAAGGCCGCGGGGTAAAAATAGGTGCCCACAATGGAACCTCATAACTGGAAACGTTGACTAAAACCTGCGGTCCCCTGGCGGTTTAAGTTTGACCTATCCACAAGGATTGCTACAATCATCCCCACTGCGGTAATTCATGACCCCTATTGCAAATCCTTATCCAAGGCCTTCTCCCAAGGCAAAGAGCACTACATTGCGTGGTAGAAATTTGGGTATGTCTCAACATACCAAGCCCCCCAAAATGGTGGCCTTTTCTTTTGGCTTCCCTTCAAAAACCCACACACACACCAAAAAAAAAAACGGGAGCCCTCAACGAAAAACCAACAGAGACCCATGTGGACGTGTAACCACTTCCAAGCTTCCCACATCCGCCCGAGCCCTTGGGTCGAGTTGCAGGTCCCTCCGGAGAGCTCGGCCTCCACTTCTGCCTGAGGAATCGCCGCGTTTCAATCTCCCATGGCAAAGAACTACAAAGGCGGAGAGGCGCGTTTCTGATTCTGGCGACTTTCCCTGCTAACCTCCACTTGCCCGGGATTTGATTTTGGCTCATATGAATTTCAACCAACCAGTTTATTCATAGGTGGGGCCCCTCCAATAGCGGTCTGATTCCCCCACTAAACCCAGGGAGAAGCACCCCTCAATAAATACACCTTGATTCATATGGTGTCAACACTAACCGAGCAGAAAAAACGGCTCGGTTGTTTTGAGGCCTGGTTCTCAGGGAATGAGAAATGGAAATGACCCCGAGATAAACCATCCAATTGGTGGTGTCCTATATTCGGGAATCCCAAAACGGTTCATTCCCTCATTCCCTACTGAGCACCAACAAGCAAAGCTTTTTCAGGCGCAAAGGATGACCTGGTGGAATTTACGTCTTGGATGGAACAAAATGATGACCTGGTGGAAGTGTCCCTCTCTTTGGCAATCAGGTTCAATGCCAAGTGGAAAGTGAACAACCATTGAGTACCCGCAACTGCTGAACAGCTCCTGCTCGTCAAGTTTGGGCAATGAAATGTCCCACGTGCATCATGTGTATGTGTTTACGTATTTTATATATATATATATATATATATAATATGCACAAGTATGTAGTATATGTTCTGTGTATTTGAGTCCATGGCCATCTGGGATCACCACCCTGCTCCAAATCAAAAAGTATCCATCCATTTCAAGGAGATTCCGTTCCTCATTGATCCAAGGTTGACGCTTTGAGCAACATGAGCTGGCCGAACCCAGGTGCATCGTTGCGAAGACCATCTCCCCGATGCGGCCCTTTCCGCGATACTCATATGCGTCTTTCCCATGGGGAATTAGCCACTCACAGAAAGTGGTAACCAACATCCCCCCTCATGTCCCACGAAGATGGCAGCACACCCCTGGACATCAATGGAGCCCCAGTTTGGTCAATTTTCGAAAAAGCAACCTGAAGCAACCTGGCTATGGGTCAAATAACGTACCCCCAGTGAACATCCCAATCCCCACTAAAATAGACTAAAATGGGTACCCCAAAATGGTACCATTGGTTTTGACCCACAGCCACCTATTTCCCAAAACGACGGCACCGCGCTCCCGGTGCCAGCTGCCACCAGAAATTGGGCTCACCGCGCCTTTTCATGGATCAGAAGCTCAGCATCTACGGAAAGGATGACCTGCGAGGCACAAGATCCGCAGCACCCCTGATTCACATGGAACCATGTTGGGGGGGAGTGTTCTCAAAATAGTGGACCCCCTTTTTGTGTGGTTGTTCAGGGACACCTCAAGGAAACCAAGCTTTGTGGGGGACCATTCTTAGATCACCCGACCTGGCGAGCGTCGCAATGTTGTGGACACCCAATGGCGAAGATTTCTCCGCTCCTGCCGGCCCGAAATTACATATTTGGCTGTGGTTGTCAAAAATAGTTGGTAACCCCAACATGGCCTGCCCTGGTAAATGGAAACAAGGATTAAAACCTGTGGTCCCCTGGTTTAATTTTGACCCATACCCATTTCTCAGTTGCCAGGAACTGGGACTAAAAGGTGATCACCTTCTGCCATGACGAATTTATGAAAACCAAAAGGTCAGATCAGGCCGATTCGCGTCGCTTTGAACTGAGGTTTAGATCTTGGACCATATGTTTCTAGTACCTAAGCGGCCCTGCGGATTTGGAGATCTGGCTGGTGCTTGAGGTTTCCTGCTTGCTTCTAGGGGTAACTTCCATTTCCATTCTGAACCCAGGGATCCGAATCTTTCTAGAAAACCACCAAAAACTCTGCGGAAATGGCGATCGGCGTTTGAAAAGAACAATGGCTGAAAAGAATGAAAAGGAATCAACCCCTAGATTGTTTGTCACTTGGCAAGGAATATCTCAAAACAGAGGCCCCTCCCGTTTTACCATGCGGCTAACCACAAGGAAACCAATCATTTTTACTGGGCTGTCCTCAGATCCCCCGCTAAAAGTTTGACTTTTAGTGAGTTAGATGGAAATCCCCACTAAGCACCAAAAAGCTGGATGGCTGGGAACCACCAAGTGGTCCGATTCTGAGAAACATACATTTGCTCCTTGGTCTTCCCCTTTTCTCGTGGCCAGACCTTCAGGCAGCTCCCGACTCGCCTCAACCAACTCTTGGGCACTGCCAAGGCCGCCCTTGAGCCTCAGAAGATCGAATGCGCCCATGGAGTGAATTAAGCTGGGCTGTCCTCAGATCCCCCACTCCAAGTTTAACTTTTAGTGGGTTAAATGAAAATCCCCACTAAACAACACTAAAAAGCTAGAAAGCTGAGGGGATGGCTGGGAACCACCAAGTGAGCTTGGATATTGCACTCTCTTTGGTGAACACCATTCTGGTGGGGATCTACTGTGGACGAAATCCTGCACCACTTGCAATAGTCACGATAAAAACCACCTACCAACTGCAGGAATTCGTCCATCCACAGTCCACTAACAACTTTGAGGTGGTCCTCTATTGAAATTCATGGCCTGGTAATCATGTCAACCTTCAGCGATCTTGCCATTCATTCGGGTCAGTGTAACACATGGCTGTGGCTCAAAAAAGTGGTACCAACATGTACCAACCTTTGGGCTGCTTGGATGGAAACAAAAACCAAAACCTGCGTAACCCCGGCTCTTTAATTTTGAGCTACACCCACTTGACTCCAAGAAGCGATCATGCTCCGCCACCTTTGTCGACAGCGGCATTGAATTGCCCGTGATCAAAGCAGAGGCAGCGAGATAGAGAAACAAAGTGACAGAGATGGGAAGGCGGAAAGCAAGACAGGCAAGCAAGCAAACAAATCAAGCCAACGAACAAACCAATTAACCAAACCAATATTGCTAGCAATTGCATGTTTATCTGGATCCCTATCCCTCACTCTCTCTCCATTCTCGGTCTGTGCCTTTCCGGACCGGCAACTCGCGGCATAAATAATCTCTGAGCGCGAGGAAAAAGAGAGGAGAGTGAATTAAGGCACCTCTGTCTCTCTCTTTCTCTCTCTTTCTCCCTCTCGCAGCCGCTCTCCCTGCTCATTTGTACTCCAGGAAATGGAGTTTTCAAGGGTTAATAGATGAAGCCCATGAACGAAGATGGAGGTGAGACGGAATTCCAAGAGATGCCAAGGGATTTACATAGGCGAGAGCTTAAGGTGTCGGGAATCCCAGTTCTCTCTCCATGCCGCGCCATAATCTGCTCGCGGGTGAGAGAGAAGGATAAAGATGAGAATAGAGGGTGACCAGGATCTCTATTCTAACAGAAATTAACTGGCTATTTGAAGATCGTGGATACCCATCCCTTTCCCTCTCTTCCAATCTCAGGAATGACATGATGGAAGAGGTTCTAAGTGGAAAGGGATCCATCTATATCACCCATCACAATACGTTTAATCATCGGCTCAAAAATAAGTAATTAACCAAAATGAAACCCTCGTAAATGGAAGCATGGACTAGAACCTGCGGTCCATATCCTGGTGCTTCAATGTTGTCCCAAGGTTTTGGGTAAAGAGAGTCAGATGAGCAAAGCGAGGGCGTGAACTGCCAGTCTGTTAACCCGTGACTACCTAGGGTTGGAGGCCATCCCTGTCCAATGGTGCGAGCAAATGCAGCGGATGAAAGGGAACGACAAGGAATGGATGACGACAGAGGTTAACCGTGCACTCTCTCCATTCTCGCCTTCCCTTGCCTTGTCTACTCGCTCTTGGATTTCTGGCTAACACGGAGAAGGGAGAGAAGCGAGTCTTTCCTTCGTACCCTTTCTCGTCCAATATACACAGAACAAAGAGTCTGACTCTGTTCGACTCCGGTCCATGCTTAGCTGGTGTTCAGCAGGGTATGAGGGAATGACCCCCTATAAACAACCCAACTCCCGTTAAAACACCGCCCCCACCAACAAACACTCACCTTCCATGGGCCGAAACGGTGACGTTTCGAACCGCCAAAACAAGGGACTTAGAGCTGGATCCCTGGGTGATTCGCAGCAAGTTAGTGTACCTATGTCTACCCTATGTAATCTCGGTTGCTTCCTGCTCCCCTGCTAAAAGCTTCACTGTTGGTTTAATGGAAAACCCATTAGTTGGCAACAAGTCCTAACATCCCTTGGCAAAATGCGCCAAGAAGGCAAAAACATATGACTCTGTTCGTTGCTCCTTCGTCTACCCCATCCACCCTTCCACCCTCTGCACAGACCTTTGCGCGGGCCGTTGCACCGGCGCCGCCGGTCCGTGGCCATTTCTTCGCGCCCCAGGCCTCACTGAGCGCCCCGGCCGATGCAGGGCCGCAGCAAAGGAGCTCTTCGCGGCAGCCGACAGGTCCTCGGGATCGATCCCAGCGGGCTCCATGAAAACGGGTGTGGGGGTTCAGGTGTCCCATGCCTTCCCACAAAAATCACGGGTCTGGGTTTCACAGGGTTTCCCTTTCCAAAAACGGGGGGCCTCTGGATATTGCCCAAAAAGGGGGGCCTCTGGGTATTGTGTGGGAGCTGGCAGTCCCAAATACCTTTTGAAGGAGAGAAGGCAAGCAAAAGGCGAATCACTATTTTGGGATTGCGAATATAGAGACACACCCATTTGGCTACTTGCAGTGGAAGCCTTTTTCAATGCTGCGGTGGTTCTCTGTGTCCTATTGAGTCATCCAAAAGTGAACCCAACTCATTTTGACCATTTCTCATCTGGTGGCTAAACAGAGATCTTCTCCGGATACTGTCCTGCTACTGGAAGGCTTGTGGCTATCGACAAACTAAGACAAGGGTAATGGGGAAGGACATAGGGCGGTCATCTTGCGCCCGCTTTCAGCTCTAGGGTCGCTATTACAGAGTGTTGTCCCAATTCAGAATCCTGCGACTGTTTTGAGGGTCGCTTCAATGGATATGGCTTTCAGAGAAAAACGAACAACAGAAACAACACGCTGCCAAAGAAAGAAAAACGATACCTGAAGCAGTTGGAGGAGACACGAAGTACTGCCTACAAGGGCTTAACGGAAATAGAATGGGGTTTGAGGGTGAACTTACAAACCAAATCAAACCATGATCAGAATTTAATGTGTGCAAGTATCTAGACCCTTATATGGGTATGAGTCAAAATTAAACAACCAAAAAAAACACAGCATTTACTCCATGCTTCCTACCAGGTTTCCATTCTGGGTACCTTGTTTTGATTCACAGCCATATTGTTCTGGGAACAAAGGGAACCAGAGTGTACCATGATCAAAACATGATGTGTGTAAGTATCATAAGACCCACATATTGCCTGGGAATGCTACCCATAATGTTACAACCATGATGGTCACAGATATTACCGTCAACCAAATTTGATGTGTGTTCCTTGGGAGCATAATTACCATAATGGTCTTACGTAATTACCATTCATTGGAGGTCTAATTAAAGCATATCTAGAGCGTAAGTATGATAAGACCCAAATCTTCCCCTGCATATATCTCGTTGCGTTCTGCTCCCCTGCTAAAAGTGAATAACTTTTCGTGGTTTAGTGGAAACTCCAAAGTTGTTAAAAAGTTAAAGTCCTAACATCCCTTGGCAAGATGCAAAGATATAATGAAACCCATTGGTTGGCAAAAAGTTGAAGTCCTCCAAGCAAGATGCGCCAAAGATGTAATGTTACAAGCATCATGGCCATAGACCCAAGAATTTTCCCCTGGGAACCATGGCGCTCTGAGGCCAGCACCCCGCCCCGGCGACCATGGCCTGCAGGAGCTGATCCCACGAAAGGAAAGACCAAAAGCTGAGCGCGTCATAGGGCGTCCGCTTGGAAATCGATGGGCTTCCCTGGGTGGTGAAAAACCATGTGAGGTTTTCCCAGGAATCGATTTTTCGAAACCAAGACTACCAAAAAGGACACCTATGGTGATCGCCTCTTGGGTTGCCATGACCAAAAATAGAAAAACCTACAAAAACGTGTTTGGGAAACTAGAAGGTCCAAAGGTCGATTTGCTCTGGAGAAGTGAGTATGACAAAATGCGGGTTGGCTCACTTGCAATGTATACAGGCCCTCTATACCTCCATGCCTCCATACCATGAAGCACGCCAATGTATGGGGGCCGCATGCGAGGCCCACCCCACTATTGACATGAGCCTTTTGCAAGTGCAATATATATAATCATGAATCGATGTGCGACAACGGTCGTTCGCATGGGCAAACTGTCGCGATGACAGGGGGACATGGTTGCCAAAGGCCAACGCAGTTGACAAAAACTCTATCTGTTCAAGGAGACGGAAACCACGATGCTTCTCTCCCAGTGAACTGTCAGCTAGACTTGATTCAGAACCAAACATCGGACTCAGCGAATGTGCATCTGCTCTATGTGCCAAATGCCCGGTGGGTTTCCCAAATTTGACCCTGGGGGGGGACAGCAACGCATATGTCCAAGAGTGATCGAGTCCCTTCAAAACCAACAGGGGAAAAAACAACTCTTAAGCACATGGAAGGTGTTCTCGGATGGATTCCTCCGCGGGCTTCCGGAGGCCCAAGACTGAAGCGCGCATATTTTGGGGCGTTTTTCCCCCCCCCCCCCCAACCAATTCACCCCACACGGTTCTGGGTGGGTTTGGGGGATCCCGTAGTTCAGAAGTCTGACATGGGTGTGAGCCAGCTTGGTCCAATCAGCTTGGCTTCCGTCAAGACCTCACCACGGGATTTGGCCCAAGTGTGGGGTGATTCCCCCCCTCCCTGGGACCCTCCCCGCGGTTTTTTGTGTTTTGTGGAAATATAAGAGGGATGTGTCAGGCAACATTTTGTGATTTGGACCTTCCAGAGACTCAAGTCGAGTTGTTTTCTCCGCAAGGACCCATGCATGTGCGGCCCAGAGGCCTTCAGCGCTAGCCTCCCCCAAAGAAGAGTTTTGGTGGTCGGTCCTTCTTCCCCTCAAACCAACCCCGATGCCCAGTGTCACACAAATTCCAAGGAAAAAAACACAAACATTGGTCGAACCCTTACCCAAAAAAAAATGAAAAAAGGGCGCCGCTGGGCAACTGGGACCGAGTGGCAGCCCTCTGCTTTGGGCTCCCGCCGTCCACGATGGCCACGCTGGCCACGGAGCCGTCCACCACGGCATGCCAGGTGTCCTAACCCAAACGGCCAGTTCAAAACGGAGGGCTTGGCCAATCCCAAGCTTTCACGGGGAAAACCGCTTTTTCTAGGGGTACCTTCCATTTCCATTCTTTCCAGGGATCCGAATCTTTCTAAAAAGCCACCGGAAAAAAAGAAGAAAAAACACGGGGAAAAAGATTCGGTTTTTGAAAGAACGATGGTTGAACAGAATGGGGAATCAACCCCTAGACTTTTGACCTGGGATGTCCCTTTTTCTGGTCCACTTATAAGTTCACAACTCTTAGTGGGTTAAATTCTGAACCAAACCACTAAACAGAACAGAAACAAATACAAGCCTAAGTTGAACCGAACTCGGCTGGGAAAGCTACAGGGACCGGAACCTTTCGTAATTCAAACTAAATGTCTTGCACTGAGAACTCCAACAAACCTCCGGTAGGATACCTCCAGAGTCAGGATTTGGATCATGGACCAATTCGATTTGGTGCTCCAAGAATGCCTGACATCCCCTTCATAGGCTGGCACAAGGCGACAGGATCCGAATGCGTGTCTGTTAGGGGACGCCCCAAAATGGTTGTCATTTCAGGTTTCCTTTAAAACCACCAAACAAAGGGACCCTCAAAGAAAGATAGACCCAAATATTTCTGACAACCCCCCAGTTTTGCTGGTTTGTGCGCATGATTCTCTGGATTGGGAGTGTTTCTGTATAGGTAAAGAAACCAACAATGTCTCTGGCAATGTTGGGCGTTGGTCCTCTGGCCCCCGGAATTGTTAGAGTCAGTTTGGGTGGCTGAAGCTTTGCAGCTTGGGTCGTGTCAGCTTCCATCTGGGCTATAGGCTTGAGAGACCTTTGGTCTAGAAGCGATCAAGGGATGGAAACAACGTGGCAAGTGTCGGCCCAGAAACGGAGTGTTTCCCATCCACAGTATGCAGCCTTGTCTCCTCGGCTGACTTGTCTCCTTCTAAAGGCGCTAATATTTCGGCTGAGACCCCCACCCCAATACCATCAACATGACGATCTAGATGCACACTTGGGCATCGCCCGAAAATCCATGATCTTTTCCATCCAGCCAGCTGAAAATTGCTATCAAAGCAATTCATCTCGGTGACTTCAAACAATGGTCGCCTGACAGGAAGGACAGCTTTGAGAGCAACCGACATTGGTCTAGCCCAAGGTACACAGGGTGCAAAGCCTCTTGCGCTGTAAAAGACCTCTCGCGCCAATAAGCAGACCTCCACTGTTTGCCTACCCGGTAGCCTCGAACCCAGGGATGGGTTGAAAATGTCCTCCAAAAAACGGAGCCCTGGGTTTAAGCCCAGCTTGCAGTCAAAAAGTGGACTCTCAATAGGGATGGTTCATGTCCTCCAAAAGGAGAACCCCTGGGTTTAAGCCCAGCTTGGGGTAGTCAAAAAATAGACCCCTGTCAATGAGACACTCTTTGACTCTTCGTAGTTAGTGGGGCCTGACCCAGCAAGCCCAGTTACTCACTTCACACTTCCAGAGTGGATTGGCCAGTCCAAACAGCTCCTATACCACTAAATTGGTCTTCACAAAGCTTTAAGTCCAGGAACTCGGGGAGTGAGGCAAAGCTTCGCCTGCAACCACTTCGGGAGTTTTGGAGTCCAGGAATTCGAAAATCTGCGCACACCAAAACAGACTCGCAGGAGCTTCATGGCTCCAATCACATGATCTCCAATCAACGACTTAGATAACCATTTCCTAGGTTCTGGAAAATTGGCACTGGCAAAAAAAACCAGCCGTGCAGGATCAACAAGCAACCGTGATTCTAAAAAAAACACATGATTCAAAGTTGCTGCTTGGAATCAGAACCCTCCGAATTGGGCCTAGCTCTTTCTGTGCCTCACCAATCTTTTCAGGCCAAGCTGAGCAGAACCAAAACCTGTATCGCCCCGTGGGGAAGAGCAATGAATCATACGCATGGTCCAAACTGTTTGCAGATGGGAAAGAAAGAGCCACAGTTCCCTACACACGAATTTACGGTAACATTGAAGGGTAATGGCCACACCAGCAGTACCTATTGACCCTGAATATTTAATCAGGTGCTTTGGACATCGCACACATGAACAGTAGTTGCCCGGTAGAGTATGCAATTCAGGGAGGCAATCAGCCAGATCATTGCAAGTGCTGCCGCGAATCGATCAGCAATGAAATAAAATGTGATTCGGGCACGAACCTGTGCCCAGGCAATGGGTAAGTTGGGGTAAACAAGCCACAAAAGAAAGGTTCCCCAAAAGCAAACCAATCCCCGGTCCCAAAGATCAGGGTTTCCCACACACCAGAGAACAACAACCAAAGGAAAACAAACCAAACCAGAAAAGGATACCCGCAACCTAGATCGACGATGAACCGCACGGGCGATCCCCACCAACCTACCCCGGGCCGAAGTCTCTTTCTCCTCCGACACGAAGGCGGTCGACGTGAGGGCCCGGCGACGCTCATCCGAGGCGCGCCGGATCCAAAACTTGAGCCAAAACACCACAGGTCGGTCACTAACGCGACGTCCCTGATGATGATATGAACCATGGCTAATCACACCCCCCTCACGAGGAGCCCGTCATATGACGGGCGGAGCGTGCCATTTACTGATAGGATTTAACTGCTCGCATGCGTCCGCAAACAGCTGGACACTACCGCCGTCAGCGGTGGAGCAAACCCACAAAGGCAGTTGCGCGACATCCCGGGCATTAAATTCCCGCCACCACCCCGAATTAATCGGGGTAACGCTGTCCAACAAACCTTGTGGAAAAGTCCACATGACGACACTAGGTCACAACTGTTTGCATCAACAATGCAAGAAGTTTAATTCTTATCAGAAGCCATGAAATAAAAGATAACGTATGTCCATTAGTACCCTCGCCTAACGGCAAGAGGTACTCCTGACCATGCGTACCTGAATAAAAATGCTTGAATTCAGCAAACCCGGGAGTAACCCCCCATCAGTTTGCTTTCCCTCTCACTCACACTGCTCCCTGATGAACACGTCCAGCAGCCCAGCAGCGGTATGGGAGAGACATGACCTCCGCGCCTCAGCGGTCCGGGAGGAACATCACCACCTCCGCACCGCGCCGACCATTGGAGAACGGACGCAAGCCTATCGGCCGCAATCCTCGTGACTCAGCCTACCGGCTATCGTCACGTCTCCTCCGGTCACGTCCGCCCCGCGCACGGTCCCTATCACGATCCCTCTCGGATCTCCTGCGATCATCTCGCCTTCGATCTCGCTCCCGATCGAGTGATTCATCATCACGACGATCACGAGCATCGTCCCTCCTCCGGTCTCGCTCATCCTCGCGCCGTGGACGGTATCTGCGCCTCCTTGACTCCCTGGAATCCCTGGTGTCCACGGTCCTAACGGACCTCCGAGAAGGAGTACGGGAAACATCCGATTCCCTACGCCTCCTCCCAGATCGAGAGTTCGTCACGATCTGGTTGAGAGCCTCCAGTGCCGACGCGTCCTCACCATTCCTGATGAAATCCCTGACCTGCTTGTTCAGCACTCTGTTGGTGGAGATCGACAAGAAAGCGTCCACCACCGAACTCTCAGGCAGCACCAGAAAGTGACCCTCCACCGGGCTCGCCGCGGCCCGCTCAGCAGACTGCAGCCGGATCTCCCCG